TTTGTTTCCTAAAAATATCATTTTTACATGAATGACTTTTTCTTCTTTCTGTCTGACCTGATCACCAACATATTCACCTGCCAACTTGCTTCCATGTGAGACTTTCTGAAATGCAGCAGCTTTATGTGATGAATGATTAACTTGAAGGTTTGAAAAATTATATTAAACTGATCCAAAATTAGCTGCACAGCACAGAAAAACTCACACAAGCTTGGACAATCTTTGAGTGTTTTTTGACGATATTTGTCATTCTGGACAATGTCTGAGTCGCTTTGAACACATTTTGGGTGACTTTAGAAGAGTTTTGTCATTTTAAAAAAGCTTTGAGACATTTTGTACAACTATTTGAATAATTTTTAAACAAGTTTTAAGTCAAGTTTCAGGTAATTTAGGCTCATCCAAGGTAAAGCTCCTGCATCTGCCCTCAGCACGGTCCTTGTGTTGGTTGTGGTCCACCACTGGTGCTGGCTGAGGCCATGTGACTCCCAGTCTGAGTTGTGGTTGGTCCACAGAGCGTCCACATACTTTTGGCCACGTGCAGTGTTGGATCACAGTTGTGTTGCTGAACTGCAGCTTGGTTCTGGGTGTTTCCCTGCACACATACAAACTGACTTCCAGCCATGTGCTGCCACCTCATATTCCCCCTGCAGGGGGGGCAGAGGGGCGTGGCCTGTCGCCGTGGGGGTGGGGGCAAATAAAAATGGACGCTCGCAGCGTTTGAATGAGGAAACAAACCCGATGAACCGAGAGGCTGGATTCTCTCCAACTGCTATCAAAGTTTATCCTGCAGCTCAAAGGCCTGTTTTCTTCCTGCTGCTGCTGCATTCACAGACAATCAGAGATCAGATTAACAGTCAAAATACGCTGCGTTCACTGACACACTGAAACTCAATTACATTTAAGATATGCTGTGTTCACTGACACACAGAGCGGCTCAGTTTCAGGATAAACATGTAAAAAGAATTCTGCCTGAATCAGTGACACAAAACAGCAAACTCTGAACAGGTTAAAGTGAAACTCAGAGATAAAGCTGCAGCAGATCTGTAATATTAGTTGTTTGCATAAATTGGTGATTCTCCTGTTGCTGCCATGAAACCACAGCAGAAGAAGACACATTAAGAACGTATTAAATTAGATTTAAATACATTTTTAAAGCTCTAGTCAAAGCTCAGACTGTAAAAAAAAATGTGACGGTTTCAACAAATTTTAAATGATAAAGATGAATCCATATGTTCATCTTATCTTTTTGATTTCTTTGTTGTACTTTTTAGTAACCTTTTGATGTTTTGTTACAGTTTTTCAACATCAAGAAAATATTACTTTTTTTTAAAATCACTTTTTGTTAATAATAGAACTTTTGTCTTTTTCTCATCTCTGGTTTTACTGAAGCTTTGTTGGATGTTGACGTCCCTTGACTCTATTTTCACTTCACTTTCCTGTTTCAAGTGTGAAATCTTTTAATATTATTTTAAAATACATTTTCTGTTAAAAATGTGAAAATAACAACAAATATCTTTAAAGTAATTGTATTTTTAGTTGGTTTAACTACTGTAAAAGAGTGTCATGTTACAGTTAAATGTTGTTATTTTGAAATTATTGACAGTTTTAGCCAGTTTTCTTTTCTTTACTAGTTATTATCTGTAATATACTGAAACAGGGGAAATGTGTAAATAACAGAAAATTGTTATTTTTTTATTTTTATTTACACAAACTCTCCAAAGGGTTTTTTACAGTTAAAAACTTGTCATGAAATATTCTCTCTCTCTCGCTCTCTCACTCTCTCTCTCTCTCTCTCTCTCTCTCTCTCTCTCTCTCTCTTTTATTTTTTTACATTTCATTCAGAAACTGGTTCAAGGGATTAGCAGCAGTAAATCAGACTGAGGCTGAGCTCAGACTTTGTGTTTCCTTCTGTTGTCTTTCTTGTTGACTTTGTGTTTGCTGTGTGTAGCTGTGTGTTGATAGCACCAGCTGCAGACTTAACAGGAATTGTGTTTACAGCGTCTCTGACTCACACAGGGAGGAATGAGGAAGCGTTTGACCCAGTTTGAGTCTGTGGATCCGTTTGTAGTTTCATCGTCTGTAGGACACAATTCTGAACCAAACGGACTGAGGCTGCTGTTTGACAACATAAGACTGAGAGTGAAACCTGTCACTTAAACTCAGTGTGTTGGATTCAAACGTGTTACACAATGAATCCTTCAGTTTAAACTATGAATTTCTGACAAAAGAATGTATGACAGTAAACTGAACAAAACAAAACATTTGAGGACATTTAACACTGGTCCACATTTTTTTATTTTTTTTGTCAATTTAGAAACAAACAGCTGATCAAATATTACAACAAACTAAGCCACAGATTTATCAACAGTGATAATAATTTTGTAAACTGCAGCTCTAATAGACTTCAGATGAATCTCTAACATTTACTTTTGGCCTTTTAAAAAATATTTGAGAAGGAATGTCACATACACAAATGTTAGGGAACTATAGCATGATGTGTCAGCTGTAAAATGTTCTGTGTGATTTGATTTGGATCATTTCTGTCATTAGAACATTATAAGTGGCATAAACTTGGATGTTTTCTGTTGTTGGAGCTGCAGAGGATTCTGCTGAATTATTACACAATGGAAATAATTCAGTGTGTTGCTCTGCTTTAAGAGAAACCCTGACAGTTGTAGGAATAGCGGAAGCAACAGATAAGAGCGTGGAGCTGAAGTTGTTTCAGAACAACTAACATCCTGTCAGAACATATGAATGCAGGCTGACTCACCTGCTTTACTCATTCTCAACTTCCTTATTTTTGCATCAGTGTGCCGTTTAGCTCCTCCTCATGTCTGCCTTCTGATCATGTTCCTTTCATAATCTTAAACTGAAAAGACAGACTGAAACTCAGAATAAAACAGAAAACTTTGGCTTTTATTTCACATAATTTACATGAAAAACCTAGAAATGAATACATTTTATTTAGATATGAATATAGATAAGTTGAAGAATATTCTATAGTTTAGTTTACTGATTTACAAGCAGGCTGGGAACTGATATCAGACTGTGTGATGGTGTTTAATGTGTCGTTAATGATTAGACCAATGGCATTTTCATTCCTACACTCTCAGCTGTAGCTCTGTGTCTATGTAGTTCTGTTTCTCTGTAGCTTTGTGTCTCTGTATCGCAGTGTCTCTGGAGTTTTGTGTCTCTTATTCTCTATAGCTTCGCGTCTTGTGTCTCTGTGGCTCTGTGGCTTTTAGTCTCTGAATCTTGCTTTGAGTCTCAGGAAGGTGTGGCGGTTTATTTGCTTCACTCTGTTCGCAGAATGACTGGACTCATTGACACACACACAGGAAGCGTGAGACGAGCGCGCTGATTGGCTGCTGCATCACGTGGTGGCAGTGATAGTAGCTCCTTATATGGCCATGAGGGCTCGATGTGACTGGAGCATCAGGTTCAGGCGCTGCTGCTTCTCAGAAACAGAAATGTACACCATGTTCTCCGCAGACACACACCCAGCCTCACTGCTATTGTGACCACACAGTCACACTTCACTACACACATGCTGCACAGTGTTCACAGGGACGATTTATGTTTTATGTGCTCAGATTGTCACACAGATTCATTGTGCTGCATCACAAACTAACATTTGATTATTTCTGGTAAATTACTGCTGCAGATGTTTCACGATCCTTCATCACACTTCAACATTCTCAGTGTCTCCATGTGAGCTGTGATTTCCTCCAATAATTAATTCATTACCTGCACTCACAAGATCATTTTCAGTCTGGCTGCAGCCAGCTGGAGCTGCTCTCACCATGCAAAGGTGTAATCTAAGTCTGGTAAATGTTAGAAAGCAGTAAAACATACCAGCAGTGCCACTTTTTATATGAGCTACAGTCCAAATCCAAACACACCGACTGCTCAGCTTCATTCAGGACTCTGCTGTTAAAGTCTGGGAGACAAAAGCTTCCAAATCTGTTTAGATCTGCACAGCAATAAAGCAGAAAAATATCCCGACTAACTGCAGGATTGTTTTAGATATTTATAGGTTATAAACTTTGCTCCCCGATCAACAGTCCAGATAAACATGCAGTCTAAAAAAAACACAAGAGAAGGTCAAACTGAAGCCACAATGTGATCAAATAAGATGGAAGCAGCTTCGTTGTATTGTCGCCTGCACAAATCAAGTGTGAAGGAGGAGATTTGAATCACAGTAATTTTTATTATTTGATTGTTTATTCTGAGGCTGAACAGTTAATCGATTTTAAATCAAAATTTGAAACAATGCAATCACAAAATAACAAATGCTGCAGTTGAGGTTATACAGTGGGTCTGAGCAGGCTTATTTTTGTCATCTGCAGAATGTGTCAGACTGAGTTGCTGTAATATTTGTTCCTCAGTACCATTCAGCACTAATTTGCTCTTTACTATTGTTCTGTGAGCAGAATTAAGAGGCTACATCTGTGGTTTCATTCTACAATCATGTGTTGGATGATAATAATTTAATTAAATCTTGAATTTGGGGGTTCAATTTGTGGTTACCCAATATTATTTAACGCCTATTTTTAGCACATCCTCTGGTTTCAACACACATATGAACATTTGTGCACTGTTGACTGGATAAATGTGTGTTTTCTGCTGCAGATTCTCGGTGATTTGGTGATTAGTTGATGCAGAATCAGTTCTTTGTTTGTTTTGCCTGAACAGACAGCAGCAGACACTCTTATGTAATGTCCATTTGGACGGAGCGGAAGACTGCCGGGGCACGGCCGGGTGGAGCCGAAAAACAAAGCACCAGCACCCCGGTGTTACAGCTCCGGTAGTGGGCTGAAAAATTACAAGTGTTTTTGTAAATTAGTAAGTCGGTAAAAGACGGTTCGCTTTGCGTCTAGACTGAAAGGATGGAATTTATTATGTTGTACAATGCACCGCTCCCCCCTGCAGAACACATGGTACGGTCCACCTCGGCGTCACCCATTGTTTACAAATGAACCGTCGGTTATTCGGAGCGGCGCTGAGAGCAGCAGCGGAGCCTCATTCATCCCGAACCCAGCCGAACCCAGCCCGAGCTCCGCCACCATGCCCTGTCGGAAGGAGAACTACATCTTCCTGGAGCAGTCCGTCACCGTCGACTCCAAAGAAGTGGATGCGCTGGTCACCAAGATCGGAGAGGCACTGCAGCTCCACAGCAACACCGGCGGCGGCCACCAGAAGACTGTGTCCGTGTCCACGGCCCTGATCGGCGGCAGCGCGGCTGGAGCACCGGGTCAGAAGCGCCGCGGCTGCTGCATGAGGCTCCGGGGACACCGAGGGAGCAGCAGCAGGGCGAGCCCCTACCACATCCCCGGGTCTCACGGCGACCCGGACTGGGACCAGATCAAACCGTGGAACAGAAAGAGGATGGAGGAGGACGACCCGCACAGGCTGCTCCAGGAGCTCATTCTGTCGGGGAACCTGATCAAGGAGGCCGTGAGGCGGCTCCAGTTTTCGGCCGCAGACTGTGCAGATTTCTCCCGTACGGCGGACAACGTGCCATGCTGATAACGGCGTTTGGACACCAGAACCGGGACTGTACCGTCAGACTGATTAGAGATAAATTTGATAAAAGACTCGGTTTTCTAATTTCACGATTTTCATCGACGTGTATCTGCTGTTTGTTGTGATAGCAGTAAGCTTGGCTGGCTGTTAACAGTTAGCCCTGCTAGCTGCTAGCGGTTAGCCCTGTTGGCTGCTAACAGTTAGCTGTTAGCCGCCCGGCTAGCCAGCGTGTTGTTTATGTTTGAATGTGTCAGAGCCTCGGAGCCGCTGTTTGTCGGTATAATGGGGGTTTTCACGATCTAAAGGTGCTGTGGAGCTCCGGCGGAGAACCGGCTCACCACGGGGAGTGTAACTGTGTGAATCTGTACAAAAGCTCTATTCTCCCCGGTGGTTGAACCATTCTGAGGAAGCCCCAGCTTCATTTATTTACCACCCCGGAATGTGTCCATGTGCTGTGGGGGTTGGGAGCGCTCTGCCCGGCCTTTCTGCTCCGGTGGGGGTTGGGTGGTTTTGTTTACAGTGTGCTGCTGGTTGTACGTGCAGGGAGGAAGCTTCCTCCTCCTCCTCCTCCTCCCGTCAGCTCATTGTTGTTGCCATTTAACTGGCTGTTTCACCGGGTTACTGCACCTCCAGCACCGGGATCCGCTGACAGCAGTCGGGCCGCTTCCTGCTGCAGCGACTAATCCATCAGTTAAACTGTTAGTTATTCTTTAAGGAGAGAACAATGGATTCTGTGGTTTCAGCCTCTTAAATGTGAATATTTTCTGGTTTCTTTCCTCCTCTTTGACAGTAAACTGAATATTTTTGGATCTTATGATCCACATTTTTCATAATTTTCTGACATTTTCGCCACCAAACTGCTTACCAGTCAACCTAGAAACTGCTATTAAATTAAATCTATATTTCTGGCCTCTTTAGGGCAACAGCAACTGTTTTAATCAGCGATTAATCTGCTGATTATTTTTCTGATTGTTTTGATTTGTCTCTAAGAAATCACAGGATGGTGAAAATGTCCATCAGTGTCTTAAAGCCAAAGGTGGCATCTTTAAAAGTACTTTTTGTTCCTCCACCAACCAGTTAACCATCCAGAGCTGCATTGATTCATTCATTAATTGTCAACTGTTGACTGTTTTGTTTATTGATTAGAATGACTTTTGACAGAAACTGTCTTAATTCTGCGATTGCAGCTTGTTAAAAGTGAATCTTTTCAGGTTATCAGTAAACTGAATATCTTTGGGTTTTGGATCTTGAACTTTTGGAAGCACTTATTTTGCTGTTATTGGGAGCAGCAGCTGATGGATCCGTCACTATGGTGGTTTATGGATGTTAACTCAGACGTGGACATGCTCCGCCCACAGACCTTTACCTGCTCTGACTGTTTCAGGCTTGACACACTTTGGTGGTGCTTCACCTGTTTGGAATTCCATCAAGGAGTTCATTTGTTTTTTTTATTTGTTTCTTCTCTGTGTAAAGAAAATCAGCTTCGTAGCGAAGCGTCTGATAATGTTCCTGAGTATTCAGGGCCTTTTTGTTGTCTTAATAAACACACTTTTGTTTTCCAGCCCTCTGTGGAGTCTATTTGATTTGGGAGAAGCTGTTCTAGAAAGTATTGGTCCGTTTGCCTCCAGTGTGGACAGCGTGGTGCTGAAGGACACATGCTTGTTATCAGCCTATAAATACCTCCTGCTGCTCGGTGGATCACAGCAGGCCGCCTGACAGCAGCCCACAAAAACATGTTTTGCTGTTGAGGTCTTGGTGCTGTTTGTGGCAGCTCCCTCTGCTGTCGCTGCAGAGACACACAACATCATCAGATCAGTTTTCAACACAGCGACCTGCTGCAGGAAGGCTTCAGCCGATTTATCTGTAAATCTGCAACAACACTTGCAGTTTTGTCAGGAATCTAAACAAGATCTGAGCTTATACTCCTAATTTCACCAAAATCACTTTATTCTACATCACAGTAAAAAATCTCTGAAAATAAACCAATTCGATGCTCAAAAAAACGTTGGGCATGTTGATTCCAGTTTTTTACATTTTTGTAAAATAAATTAAAAACAAAAGATGCAAAACAACCTAAATGTGACACACAATGACGTTACAAAAGACAGAAAATGTGTCTGATGCCTAAAATTTCCTTTTGCTTCTCTTGTAGCAGAACATTTTCCAAAAAAGTCATTTGGACAAGTTTACATCATTTTTGACACATTTTAATTCCCTGTGAATATTACTGAAGTCTGAGTCTTTTCGTACACTGTGTCATTTATGACAATTTGTACTTTTTTTTCATTTTTATTTTTAGCAAATTCTGAGTCATTTTGGAAACATTCAGAGTCATTTCACTCTGGTTTGTGTCATTTTTGACCTCCAGAGCAGTTCCATCTCCAGACTCCAGCTTGCCTGTTTAATGAGGCAGCAGCAGCCTTGTGAGCTCAGAGGACTGAGGTTCAGGCTGGGCTTCAGTTCTGAGCTTCACTGAGTCGTCTGTGTGGGTAGCAGCTTCCTCTGCTGCTCCACTGACGCAGCCACAACACAAAGGGTAAAAATAGAAAGACAAAACTGTTTTGGAGCTCTGTCACTGAAAAAGGTGAGAAGACATTTTGTGTCTGTGCTGAAATAACCCATGGAAGAATCATTCGTTGCTGAATGGAAGAGACCTGAACGCCTCCAGATCTGGTCTCTGACGGAACCAACGCTGCAGGTATCAATGTTCAGCTCCTCCACATGTGACGTGTACAGATAAAGACTCGGCGAGTTCTTCAGAGGAACATCTGTCTCTTAGCCAATGATGTGTCGGCAGTGAAAAGTATTTCCAATCTTACACTTTATGCTGTTCCTGTGTATCTGCACAGACTGCATGCAACCAGACTTCATCACATAAATGATAATATCACGCATTGACAACTGCAACTCTTCACTGGCAGGCCTCCCCACATCCACAGTCAAACCTCTGCAGATGATCCAGGATGCAGCAGCACATCTGGTTTTCAATCAGCACATGTCACCCCGCTGTTCAAATCGCTTCACTGGCTTCCAGTTGCTGCCCTTATCAAATTCTGACACTTTCCCACAAAATTACAATGACAACAGCTCCCTCCTACCTGAACTCTCTCATTCAGATCTACACTCCCTCCAGCTCACTACACTCAACCAACAAAAGCCGTCTGATACAACCACCACAGCAGGGCCAGAGGTCGACAGCTAGACTCTTCTCCTCTGTGGTTCCCTGGTGGTGGAATAAGTTACCAAACTCTGTTCAATCTGCTGACTGCCTCTCAGTCTTTAAGAAAAGACTAAAGACCAGCTCTGCACTGAACACCTCTGCACTTGACAGACTGAAGAAAAAACAACAACAATATAAAGATCCTATTACCTCCCACACAGCCTGCTATTGGCATCAACGCCCTGTCATACCTGAACTTGTTCTATGGCACTTATCCAGATTGTTTTCTCCTGACTAGATCCTTGCTTGTGTCGTATCTGCTCTCAGATGTACGTCGCTTTGGATAAAAGCTTCTGCTAAATGAAATCGTAGAATTATAGAAAATATTCACGTTTTAGCCTGATGACCAGTTTGACGTCCAGCTGTGTCCTGTTTTCTCGCTGAGGAATGATTAAGGACTTGATGGTTCTGTTGCTGATTCTGTCCAGAATTTGCGCTTGGAGCTCTCAGTTTGTGTTTAGGAGGTGTTGAAGCAAGCGAAGGAGGCTGAAATAAACACTGACCTGCCAGAGAGACGCAGAAAGCAGACAACCAAAACTGAGCTGTTGAGCAAAATCAAAACTTTCCCCAGGATGCACAAGATAACAGAAGTGGAACACAGGTGAGGCTGTGGTGGTTTGTTCTTGTTCTAATCTGTATTTGCCTCTGCAGGTGCGATCAGGAACACCTGTGGAACCTTTTTGTTCTGGTTCCTTCAGTTCTGGCTGCAATCTAACTGCCGTCTCTGCTTCTGTCCACAGGTACGTCACCTCACCTCATGCTTTAATGCTCACCTTACAACACCTGTACAGACTTCACCTGCACACCTCTGATCTCCACAACCATGTTATGCTTATTGTACTTGGTGAGATTTGGCTTTATAAAAGTATGCTTTCACTGTTATTCCTGGTGAGGTTTTCTTTTATTGTGGCCACTTGAGTCCAGTCAGAGCACGGCACAAAACAACACAAAATCAGAGAAACGAGCCACAACAACAACAACAGCAACAAAAAGAGATAAAACGGTCTCAAAGGAACAAAATGAGATACAAAATGCCAAAAACGAGGAACAATAAAACAGAAAAGAAAAAACTGGCCTAAAGAGACGTAACATTGTGTGGTGTAATAACAGCGAGTGTCCACTGGGGGGCAGCAAGACTTAATGGATGCTTCGGCAGTACTCAGACTACTTTCATCACCTACTTTTAGAAACCTGCAGCTTCATTTCACCCCAAGAAACTAAACATGAAAAGAATAAATTCTAAGAATCAGGTTGTTTCCTTTTGATGACACAACTTTTTTTTTTTCTTAAAATATTTCACTTTATTTCTTCTCATCAATACTCTATCATACCTGAAATGTATTTCTATTTGTTTCATAGTTAATGTAATTAATTAGAGACATTTTCTGACATGTTTCAGTATTTTTATGCAGTTAAATCAGATTTTTTTTTTACAAGACTGTGAATTGAAAATATATTGAAAGTGCATTTGAACTGTTTTGGTTGAAAAACATGTTTTAATCAGAACATATAGCGTTTATAAAAACTTTTTAAAAAAAAATCTAAAATGATATTGAAGCTGATAAGACTTCAGCAAGTATTTCACTTTTATTGATCCCTTCACTTGTCTATCACATGTGATTATTTTTTGTTCATTTTGTAATTTAAGTACACAACATACAATAACAACAAAACTCCAGTTACTCAACACAACAGCAAAGTGTAAATGGTACACACAGGTGCTGAATGCAAACACATTTTGGATTAAAGGATTCAATTCACGTTTTTAAGCGCTACCTGCCCAGACCTCAGCTACAGTTTGTTCTCTAGTATCACGATGAACTCACTGCTTTAAGTTCAGCTGCACTGAGATCAGAACAAAAACACAGTTTCTCTGTTTGATTTATAATCTCATTAAATGGCAGATTACTGAGTGTCTGCAGGAGGATTTACAGCAGCTACATTCAGTGTGCTGATGCCAGCAGAAGAACCTCTGCAGGCATCAGAGGACGTGTTTTAAAACCACTTTTCTTTCAAGACGTGACTCAGAAATGCAGTTTTGGCTGCAGGCATCACTGCTGTCAGGATTCATGTTCTTATTTATGTTACAGAGCAGCTTCACATTCAAATCTGAGGAGTTAAATTCACATCGTGTCACTGGTTCAGCATTTAAACATTTACAAAGCGGTTCTAAAATCAAGAAAAAATATTACTAAAATAGTGGTGAAGAGTCAAAAAGAGAAAAATAAACTTCTTAATGTTTACTGTCATTTTTCAGATTTTTTTCATTTTGGTAAAATCTCAGATACAATTTAGCAACATCACAAAAAAAAAAGTATTAAAGAAACTAAAAACAGGCCAAAACTGCAAAAAATGACCACATTCAAAATCTGTGTTTGATGAAATGAAATGAAATGAAAAATACTTTATTTATCCCAGAAGGGAAATTCAATCTTGTAAAAGCTCACTTTTTTTTTTTTTTTAAATCATAAAGATTTAGAGTAAAGATAAAGAGTGATTCATTCTTTTACAATGTTAGGCCATAAAATTACACTTTTTAAATTTTTTATTTATTTATTTTTACTGCATTTAAATCAGCAAAACACATTTTTTTATTTAATTTTCTTGCTTCCTTATTCGTCTGATTTCTGCTCTTTGCTCCGTTTCCCACCAGTGTCATGAATCCATTCAGTATTTAAAGTGTCAGCAGATGTTCTCTCGGTTCTAAAACGGATATTAACGAGAAAAACTCAACAAATGCAAACATTCTCTGTCAGCAGAGTCTCTGTGGTGCGTTCAGGATCAGGGTTTTACTGTTGAAACTATGATGCATCCCATAATACTGATGCTCAAAATTGGTGTAAGAGAAGATGAACATAAACCAGATCGTTGCAACAGAGCTCTAACGCGGTTTTTTTAGCTCTCAAAAATGTTGTGTCTGTCTGCAGTACTGATCAAGTTACGAGGCTTAAAAATGACGTCCATTAAAAAATGTGAAATTTGACCAACTCTATGTACTTGAAGGGCCTGTAACTCTGAAAATATTTATAGAATGAAGGTAAAACTTTGCATGGCTTCATTAAATATACTAAAATGACTGTAGATAAAGAATCAGATGATTCTGAAGAGGTCAGAGGAACTTTGTTCAGGTGTGACTGTTTTTATGTCAGCCAGGTTGCTTTCAGACTGATGGAAGAAGAAGAAACAGATCAATAAGTCCAGTTTTCCCGTGAACCAAGTGTTTGATTGGCGTCTCTTCGAGAGACCATCAGCTTCAAATTTTTACAGCTTTCCTCATCTTTGTTTGCTGCCTCATTCAGCTCTGAAGCTTCCATCTGAGAGCGACACTGCTCACAATAGAAGATAACTTACTACCAACTGACTATCAGCAAGACATCAGGTCACTTGGTTCATCTCATGTGGATAAAACCCAAACACAACTTCAGGGCCTTTTGTAAAATGTATCACTGAATAAGCAGAAACATCCATGTGAAACTGACTGTGACTCTAATGTCAGTGATTCAAAATAATTTCACCTATCAACGTGTAAATATTTCCAGGGGTGCCCCCAGAAATTGTTTACGGGTTTACTTCTATGAAACTGATAAGTGCATGCTTTGAACTAAAAGTGAGGGCCTGTTGACAAATGAGAAGGACGGAAGCATTGATCCTGCGGTGAGAAGGATTAAGACATGGATAGTACTACCAGGCCTCCAAGACTGAACTCAACTGCACACCTACACAACTTACACCTTGGGTGATACGCAGATAACTACATCCTGTTGCACAACTGATGACTGATGGGCACTTGCTTTTGCAACGAGCTGCAAACTGCTTCCTGTTGCTTAGAAAAATGTGTGTGACAGGGTAAGGACAGACAGAATTGATAAAACGTAACATAAAACATGAGGTAGAAAAGAATAGGGAGCTCTCTCAACAGGTACCGACCCGCGGGATTGGACAAATCGTATACCAAGAGATACGGACATATCTGTGCACCAGGGCTAAGTCTAAACCACAGCTTCTCCCCACCTTAGCTCCAAAAACATCAATTCTTGTCACTGAATAAAAGCTGTCTGTGGAGAGGACATATCATCCTTTGCTGGGGAAGTTGATTACAGATTAACAGCTTGCTGACTGTGATTTTCAGAACCAGTGCTGGATCCTTGATCAAGTAAAAATTAATTGCTTTTGCAGAATAAAGAGTGTTTATTAGGGAAGTTGTTTGTCTTCTATCTCAAAACACGAACACAGTTCAACAACCCATTATTAGGGTCCGAGGACCCCTACTTGCTGCAGCAAGCAGGGGTCCTTGCCCCCTATTGTTCCTGCTACGTTTCTTTCTTCTTCTTCTTCTTCTTCTTCTTATTTCCCTGACCAACGCGTTACCCTTAATTAGACCCCCTAAACACACTCAAAAACTCACCAAAATTGTCACGCACGTCCGAATCTGCGAAAAATGTGATAAAATGGAAAAAAAAAACACTAAAATGTTCTCTAGCGCCACCTAGTTACAGAAAAACACACAAAAATAGCCCTAGAGCCCAGTAGGAATGATTTACTACAAAAATATGCTGTTTTTACACATATTTGGTGAAAATTGTGGCTGTATGGGAGAGAGAAAGTGAGTAAAACTCTCAGCTCTCTCACCCAGGGGCACGAAAAACGCTGAGTCATCATGACATCATCACAAGTCAGTGCAGCTGGTCATGTGACTCACTGACAGTCTGAGGCTGAGCAGAGACAGAAAAATGGCTCCTTCAACTTAAAGCAGGTTTCAGTTGTGACAAAATGGAGGTCAGACGGGCATGAGGGTCCAACGCAGACCGAGGACCCGACCAGCGCTGCTTGCAGCTTTAATTGTAATATTGTATTACAAAGATGAACATCCGTTTTTTTTTTTTGCTAATGTCTTTTGTCTCATCAACCAAAATGCTGAAAGGCTGATTTTGTGCAACTTCACTGTTAACTGAGATGTGGACCGTTTCAGCCAGGCAGTCAAACATTTCATTTTGAGTACTATGCCCGAGGTATGTTGCATTTCTCTGACTTGTCATTTTTTTCTTGACTATAGCATCACGCTTGGCGAGTACTTCCATGATAGATAGGAAATTTCCTTTATTCTCACCCTCACGTTGTTTATGAGCTCTTTGTGCAATGTTTTGTGTCGCTGTAAGGAGAAGGTTTCTGCAGCAGTTTTGATGCACTCTCTATTTTCACTCACTAGTTTATTGTATTCTGCATTGAAAGAGGCTGAGAGAGAGTATTTGCTTGCAATCGACTTTTCAAAGTTTGCCCACATGAACATAGCATTTGTGTGTGATTCTGATTTTGCTTGGCTTACAAACCCACCATCTTTACAAGTGGCCTTTTTCCAATTTTTGAATCCTTCTTCAGAAGTAAACACTGAATCACTGGATGGTGGGAGACTGAAGTGATGGCAGGCACAGCAGGAAGCAGAGTTTTTACTCTGAGAGAATTCTCGCCATTCGTGCGCACTGTGCCACTCTTTCTTGAAGCCTCGTCTTGTGTCCCCTTGAAGAATACCAGGGAACACCTTGAGTTGCGGCTGTTTGGGCCCCTCTGCTCTTGACTGGGAAATATCTGTGCTGAAACATGAGGTAAATACATTATTCTGACCTCTAAACAGCAGCAGAAACAACAACAGCAGCAACAATAATAGAGAGTCCTCAGTAGAGGGACATAGTTGCCCAATGTATGCATGTTTACCTGATTCTGTGTTTTACTGTGCAACTACTTGAGGAAGAACTTGCCTTGATTTTGCCTTAAAATGGTACATATTGTAACTAGAGCTCAGTCTGTCGTGTAACACAGATATTTTGAATGGAGGGAAAGCGTTTTGCTGTAATCTACGCCTCTGACTAAGCACCTAAGATTTATTACCGTGAGTTTGACCTTGACTTTTCATCCAAGGTCACATGTCACATCACCAATATGGGTTCTTATCTAATTGTAATAAGAACCGATGTGTTTATCTGACACCTTTTCCAAATGATAATGGATTTAAAATTTGGGATGATTAAAGACCTTCAGTGTGACCTTGACCTTTGTCTCAAGGTCATATGTCACATCACCAGTTTATAGGCCTCGAATGTCTTCCAACGTGAGTATACTAAACTTATTTCTTTTTGTGCATTTTCAGTCATACAAATCTTTTTTGGGAAATGCAACCTTTGGACAGTCATTTTTCAGGGGTGGCCTGAAAATACTCCAAGACAAGTAAAAAATCCTTCCTTAAATCTCATAAGTAAAAGTCTGTAAGTATTGTCAGCAGCATTCACCTGGACTATGATATATATTAGGATTATTTTCTAGATGTTATGTTGATTTAAATGAAAAATGTTTGTGTCTTATCAGTGATCTCTGACTGAATAATGAGAGAAGAAACAATCAGAGATCGGAAACGGCTGCAGGACTACACCCACTTCCTCTTTTAAAAGAAATTGTGAAATTGAGCTTGTGACCACTGAATATTGGGCAACATGAGCAGAGAATGTGTGTGTGTGCTGAAATCCAGAAAATGTGTGTGTGACACTTGTGGGAAACTAAACAGTATGTAAACAGCAGAAAGTGCCATTAAAACAGAGTTTTTACTGGACATCTCTGCAGTTTGGATCATGTGAGATTATTCTCAGGATATTGGACTAAACTCTGCAAAATCAAAGTGTTGACTGGACTGGAACACTAGTCTGAAGAACTGATGGAGTATTTTGTTTAACCCAAACAGAAGAAGGATTTTTGCAGCGAGCTGGAGTTGGGATTTTATCTTTTCCCCTGAAGACAGAAGGACTTTACTAGAGACTTGGACTCTGCAAGGAGTCAACCAGCCTTTAGTAACTGATTCACCTTGATGAGGTAAAACACAGCTGGATTGTCCACTGTCTCCCCTCTGAAACAGACTATGAGTCAAGATTAACACACATGCTCAGTTCTCTTATGAAAATTGTTTGATTTAGTCTTTCTGAAATTACTAGTTGTATTCATTTAAAATCTGTTGTTTTAATAAAGTTTAAAGTTAAATGAAGTTAAAAGTCTAGACGTGATTGCACACCTCGAAAGTCTGATGATAGAAAAAATGTCTGTACTGGTTCTTAAAGCTTATTAGTTGATGAAAATATAAAATATTAAACTTATACGTTTTTTATCCTCATCTCTAAACTCAACCGAGCAGCTTAAACGGAGCCAAAATCATTCGGAGGAAAGCCGCCGTGAACAAACCAGGAAACCTG